AGAGCGTGAGGAGAGGGGGGGTGAGCAAAGATGGATACGAATCGTCTTTAACCCGAGTGACTTTGCGCTAAATTTCAGAGAGTAAGGTCTGACGTGCTAGTTCGCCCATCCATTTCGATGCTGTCCACCATATCCTCAAGCGCAGGGAAGGTGAGTGTAGTCACGTATGGTTAAAATAGACGAACAGCCATCTACCACACCCTAAACCCCCTCTTCTCTCGAACCGGTGTCAAGACAGAGTCGAGATGGCGTAAGCCGCCTTCTTAAATGCCTTAAATGTCTTAAGTGACAGTAGCCGTTTGCGCTAGTACTGCTGCGCTCACCTTCAGCAGGTGTCCAGGAAGACTCAAGGAGACCGAGCCTGATATTTCTACTGCTGCATACTAGCATTGTAGTCGAGTGAATGTAGTGCTGGTACTATTACCGATGCTGATGTTTGGTCAGAAATGAAACTGATTAGAGTCAGCGCTGGGCTCGTGTTCCACCGTTCTCAACTAAGAGTGGGGACCTGGATTTATGCTATTTCGAGTGGAGTACATGTTTGAGGCTCGAAGCACATCAATGCTTCTCCTGACTTTATTGCTAACGCGTGGACTACGAGGCTTAGAATACTGCTGCTGAAAGTGGTATGCCAATGTCAGGAGTGCTAATTCTAGTAATCATACTTGCTAAGGCCAGTAATTAGTATGCTATAGTGTATGTGGGAAATTTTAATCTAGTATGCAGTCGTAATCTATATCGGGATTTCAGTAAACTGAAGGGTTAAAGCAACGTATATTTGCTAATAGCTGGAGATCTACCATGCATTTAGGTCGTAAGGAAGAGGCATTTGCCGTTTCTCCATGGTATCTTTGACTGTTTACAGTACCTATCTCTAGCTCAGAATTTACAGAACATCACCTTTCTAAATGGGTACACTACAAGTAGGCTACTAAAGAGCAACAGTATGACAGCACAGTGCAGCAGGAATAGTGTAATGTTAGTGGTGGATAACTTAGGAGTATAGCATGATATTTCGTATACTGCAATAATATCTGAGTAATAATACATAAGCATAAATGATGGAAATATACACTTACGAGTGATGTAGCCGTTTAAAGTCACCTGGTAAAGCATTTTTTCGGTCGGGCGCCCAGATAAGTTTGTAAGCAACCGATAACTCCTGGTTTTGCACGCAACAGTTCGGCAATCAATTTTGGTGATGCCCAACTTATGCTCCGAATAGGTTGGTGCAGTGACTTGAGCGCGAATTAGGTTTTAAGTGATAACCGACTTCCCACAGCATCGACCGCGTTCTCTCTCTTCCCTCCTCCATATGAACCCAGGTCTGGTGTAGGTTAGTTTGAACGTAGGAAATCGCCTATGAAAATGACCATTGTATATACGTAAAACGGATAAGTTAAACGCGCATAGTTTGGAATGCCTGTATCCAAACAGCTGTACTTCGGTGATCGCGTTTTGTCTTTCTTTTCGCCTCATACTCCACGAAGCTGCTTTCAGTAAAATAGAGCACATTAAGCTGCGAAAGACGTGTTGTAGCAAGCGATGTCGGGCGAACAGCTCAAATCCATCATCCTGCCCTCCTGTTAGGCAATTTAACTCCTTTGACTGCCAAATTGACGAGTTTCCTTTCCGTTTATCCGCCCCCTGCTCGATCGCCCGAGCAATTAATCTCCGTCTCCTATGAAATGAATGCTTTGCTCGATTCGGAGTAGATTTCTGGCTTATCCTCTTGCCCCTTCCCCTTTTCCTTTGACCCCCCACCCCCCCTCCTTATCGTAATCCTCTTATTCACCCTCCTCTTTATCATCTTTCTTCTTCTTTTTATGCTTTCTTCTTAACCCTTCCTCATCACTGTGGAGCCCCAGCACAGCGACTAATGATACAGACAGAATGATTTGGCTAGAATGCCCACGGGCCTCTTGTGAAACCCGAATGAAGACTTGGACATACACAGTTACTTCTAGGCCCCATTCTAAGCATGAAAATGCAAAAAGACTGGTCAAATATATATTAAGATTTACCAAAAACTGTTAATCTTCTGTCTGCTCCGTTTCTAAGTTAGGTAAAGTACATTGCACGATTAGGTATCTCACCGCATGCCTTAAATATGACACGATAAATTACGTGGATTTTTGTTTACGATCCCAGGTATTCGACGAGGCAGAACAAAATAAGGTTAAAACGTAGCTACTACTACTTTTCATGACGAAAAATGCAGAAATTTGCAAAGGAAGAATCTTTGAACTGAAATTTTTCCTTCTTTAACAAGTACAATGCGATTCCTTGCACCCGATCTAAAAAAAGATTTTCGGGTTCTAGAAAAGATATATTTTTCAGAAATGTTTTCGTGCTTATAGTGGTGTTTTCATGTAGCATAACGCACAAAAACAAAACACTTGTTTCTGCCCTACTAAATAGCAGATACACTTTCATCCGGCAGCCTCCGATTTCGCCAAAATTCAGCCTGTTTCCCTTAAATAACTTCAGGAAATAAGCGTGCACTTTGTCCTCCTTAAGGGCTTTTGGAGGATCACGTCCACGCACCAGATCAAAATAACAGGACCAAATGTAAGCTAAACTGCCAAGTCCAATTTAGGTCATCACGTTGCACGAGTTAGGTCACCTACTGTAAGTCTGAGCGGCAGTTGCTTCTGATGGCGCCTAACGCAATCCAC